CTGAGGAAAACACAACCGTCACCGGGGCGATTCTCTGTGTCTTCCATTTAGTCTGTACAGAAAAAGAGTTAAAACAAAAACTGGACATTTTACGGGACGTTATGTAGCAGACTATTTCAAGGTTGGGACTAAGATTTGTATTACTTTTTGAACAGGGAATTACTGCAAAACAATATACAGGAGTGTGATATTTAATCCCCATCTATGTTGTATCTTTTTGGAGAGCTACTAATGTTATCTTGCATAATAAAAATAAATAAATGTACAACGTCTGGCTTTCAAATGGGAAGACTTTAACCACAGAAAGGCAGCCAGCGTAAACACAGTTACCCACGTATTTTCCTTTCCTTTTTACAACAGTTATTCTGTATGATCTCCTGGGTGTGTTTTATTTCAGCACTGAAACTAATTCTTTTGTTGTTCTTCGCCCACTGGGATTCAAAGCTGCATGGAACAGCAAACAGGGACTACAGATCAAACGAGCCGGAGCTGGAGAATCAAATATCCAGAGCAGTTTCCTAAAACAGCAGAGTTCAAACCATGGAGGCAAGACGTGAGCCGTGCTGCAGTCTGCGAACGCGTATGGAAGGGAAATTAAAAAACAGACTGAAATCAAGAAGGTTCGTGAGGAGGGATGAAGGGAAAGGGACACAGAAAAAGAAGCACGAAAGAGGGAAACCTAGAGAGGGAGAGGGGGAAAAGGAAATATTGTCTCCCTGTCGCTGCTTCCTATCCACTTTACAGCAACTCCAGTTTTTTTTCTAGTGTTTTTCCAGATGCTCAATGGTTTATTACGTGAAACCCAAGGATTTCAGCTTCAGATTTGTGTTTTCAGAGACTCCATCTGCAGTGAACTCTGTCAGCAGAATAGACTTTTTTTAAATTTCTCTCTTTATTTATGTTGTACATTTATACATGTTTTATGAATAAATAGTATAAACAATTTAAGTAGCATAGCAAACTGTGATAATAGCAGATGATTTTTAGTGGGATTTTCATTAAATGTAGTAGGTTTCCAATACAAAAGTCTACAATGAGTAAAAATGTCATATGAAGCCTTAAGTCTCTATGAGCAAAGCAGTTTGTGGGGAAAACATTTGTATTCTGGATAATCCAACGGGTTTCCCAATACTCACAAAGCAATTGTCCTTTAACACCAAACACACACAAAGAGCGTCCAATGTGACACTGTCATTGACACAAGCCAGAAGTCAACAATAATCAGAAGCTATTTTTGAAGAAACAGAAAATCAAGATACTGTTCAAAATACCACTAGCTCATGAGATTACTATTTTTATTGTTTACATACTGTTGAATCCTTCAACACTGATTTTTAAAATCCAATACTGCTTTGTATTTTGCGATCTGTCTCACGAGGACTATCTTCTTGCACATTTCGTCAGAAATCAAAGGTACACATTCAGTTTAAAAAAAATAAAATTTGGCCAAATAGACATCACATCTTAAAACTCAATATTGTACTCATGTAAAACATCTGTTTTGATGACTTAACTTTATAGTAGACCAATTTTGGTCACTTTGCCAAAGTACAGACTTTTGGTAATTATTTAATTCAGCATTACTGTAATAGAGATATTTTCCTGGAGGGAGATAATTTCATGACCCACGAATCCCTGCATACATCTTCTCTGCATTACAGAAGCTTTTCATTTGGCACCACAGGCAGTGTGATTGGTCAAAGAGAACGGGCCCCCTGCCCACATCTCACAGTAGAATCTCATTACCAAGTGCAGGAAGAAGTGGTACAGTGGGGGAACAACGAATTACCTCGCAGCCATTACAATTAATGCTGTCCACCGTTTACTACACATTCTATACAGAAGGTTTTTCAGAGGATATTAAACGAGTTTGGTTACAAAATGTGTTCTGATCAGTACATTAGCAATAGCTTCAACTTGTTTGTATTTGAGGTCCGAGAGTTCAAAAAGGGTCAGTGCGCCTGGGTGCGCTTGCGGGGCCATGTGGTTTTAATATGAAGGAATCCAATCATGGCATCACATTCATCCCGTTTCCATGGTTACGCAGCGGACACACAGTAAACACAAGGGCCTTTTGTCCGCAACAGTTGCTGCCTCCATTCGATGCGACCAATGGAAACCGGCCGTGTGCTTCACAGGTAAGACGGATGCCTGCGGCAGTTACTTAGCAAAGCCGGTAACAGCTGTTCCCAGGGGGGCGTAGAGACATGACAAAATGCGGGTTATTAACTTAATATTGAAGGAATCTGTCAAACTGGATGCCAAAATTGCTCTCATCTATGTAACACACTGGTGAAGAATGGCTAGTTTTCCTGAGCTGAACTACTCTGCACAACCACTGTGTTTATGCATACTTGTCTGTTCCTAAAGAGGAACCGGGGATTGAAGATGGATGGATGGACATTATTTGAGATAAAGTTCATATCACTCCTGTAATCGATCCGATTCCACGTCCCAGTGCTTGAAACACATGCTCAAGCAATCTTGAATAGGTTTGGCTCAGATGTTTCCACGATTATAAGTCACACTCCAAACAGTCCCTGCCTGGCTTTGATTTAGCTTCATCTTAAAGTCAGGTCAAATACATTTTAACATAGTTTAGTTTGAAGCTCTGACTGTCCTCCAGAATCTCCACCCAGTACAGCTATGCAGCACTAGCTCCCTGGAAAAGACTTGGATTCCACATTGCGTCGCACCCTATCAGTCCCACAGCAAATTAACTCATCCACAGCACATTGCAGCAGCAGGGAACAAAATTAAACAAAGGTTTATGGCACCCCAAGGGCATCCAGGCCAGTGTTTTTCAACCTTTTTTGCGTCAAGGCACACTTAAGACACAGAAAAAATCTCACGGCACACCAACAACCGGAAACGATATGAAAATCAATCCCAAACATAGTTTCAGCATGAGCATAATATACTCTAAGAAATCAGGGAAACGCGTGTTCTATTTGTTGTGTTTTATTAAACTTAACATCATCCTAATGCCAAGATGGCACAGGCTTTATGCACAGGTATCTCTTAAGCCGGATTTATGCTTCTGCGTTTTCAGAGCGACGCAGACTCAAGACCCCCTTGCGTGTGTCGAGACATTTTTCTAGGCTTGAGTCGAAAGCGACGCAGCCTCCCGCAGCGCACCAGGCTGCGATTGGTCCGCTAACTACGTCCTTTACGGAGTCTCACATTTCCGCTTTCATAGCCCGATACCGCCATTATTAACACGAAGAATGTTTACGAGAGAACGGAGCAGATTGAAGAACTTTTGTCGGAAGAAATGCGTAAATATGACCGCTTATACAAGCCGTCATTGGCGGGTTGTGGAAGCGGAGGAAAATACGGGACAAATGTGTCCTTGATGAAAAGCAGCAGTGGCGATGCACGGGGCAATAACGTCTGTGATAAATAAATAAACAAATAAATAAATAGACGTGACTCTCTAGGTCGTCTTCAACAAAACACGTCACCATGCTTGTTGTTCTGGCGGTGAATTGCTCTGCAACACACGCAGAACCATGAAGTGAAACGAGTGCGACGACGCAGAAACATGCGCCGACCTTAAATCTCACTTTTTTAAATTGTCGCCTCAGCAAATCTGCCTATTAATTACGCTGCGTAGCGCCACCCACAGGCAGAGGGGAGTATTGAGCCTTCATACCACCAACAGCGCGACGACACACACACAAACACACAAGTTGGCTCTTTTTTTTTCACCAATGAAGTGACAGTATGTAAAAAATGATTTCACGGCACACCTGACAGCCTAACACTGGTTGAAAACACTGATCTAGGCTATAGATAGGATGATTGAGATACGTTGTGCAAATATGAGCTTAGGCACATCCGCGTGAGCTTCACCCACACCCCTTTGACATCTAGCTTGAAGCAAGTGTTACTCAGAATAGCCCCGTGCCACCATCCAAACGGCTCTCAAGATCATTAAAGTGTTCTGGGTTTACAGGCAGATCGTAGCCCACAGCTGTGGGGTTTAAAACAAGTATAGCATAGCCACACTGTCTATACTGCACTGTTTACTGTCTCACACGGGAGAGTTTGCTGTGGTGCGTCATAGCAACAGGGTGTCTGTTTTGCAGCTTTGTCTTTTCAGCGGGACGTCAGCACGAGAGGAGCCACTAAGCTACTTTAAAACGAGGAAAACAGCCACGCCAAGCCAATTAACAGCAAGCCCAACATTTTACAGCACATCGCTACGGCGCTTCAAACCTCCTACTCCTCTTGAATTTTGCAGCTTTGAGGGGATTCTTCCTATCTGAGCTCCCTCTGCGTTCATGTTATTCATTTGTATTGATTACGGCTCTCGAGGAGTCTCCACACAGGAGTCGACTTAACAGGAAGCTGCACATGGAAAACAAACAGGAGAGATCATGCTGATAGTGATATCTGGTCTGCTGCGCGTATTTATAGCTCCATTCATTTTAGATTTCATTCATTTTTGATTTAGTTTTATGCTCCGCAACCATCATCATAACAGTGGATCCGAGGTGGCATCCTCTTCTGCCCTCTTCTTCTCTTAAGGCTGCCTTATTGAGGCTGACCACGTAGCGTGCCGTGGTGCAATTAAATGGGATATGAAAGAGGAGGAAAATAAATCAAACATTATGAGGTCATGTGCAGTATGTCATTATAATGCAGAAGGCTGTATGCCGCCCTCGGTATATGCGCTCCGATACACCTTGGCAGTTAGACGAACTCTTTTCTGACATCACGACTCTGAAGACAATGGTCCGTTGTCCACAGGTTTATTGACATGAGAAAGAATTTTCTTCGACCGCTACTTTATATATTTATGCTTATTTACTTTGTTATTTATTAAGTCATATGGACTTTAATGACAACCAACCCGAATGACTCAATAGGCCATGTGCACAAAAATATCCAAACTAAACATTGTCACAAAAATAATCACCTGAGATGATAATGAACAATAAAACAAATCAATACGTACCAACGATGCTATCAAAAAGGTATAGGATGCATGCAGACTCAACTGGATTGAAAAGCTACCAATACAAACAGCAGTTCTGAGCCATATTCTTCATTGACTTCCTGGTTCCTGTCACCTGACAAATTACATCACATTTCCTGTTTTCAAAATAAAACATAGCATTGATTTAACGTTTGTGACAAAACACTCCCCGCTTGGGTGAATACACGCCACCCAATAAATCCTAGACAGTTCACTCCACTAGGGCTCTGGGGGGAAAAGAAGCACTATCTCAGAAACAGGCCTAAGAAAGAGTTTAGTCACTCCTGTTCGTGCGACCTTGATCTCGACCTTTCGTACCTTCCCGTCCTCGCTGGGGAACGCCTGTGTTACCAGTCCAAGAGGCCATTCATTTCTTGGTGCTTGACTATCCTTGAGGATAACAACACTTCCTGGGCTGATGTTTGGATGAGCGGAATGCCACTTCTTACGTGCCTGTAGTGTCGGGAGATATTGCTTTCGCCATCTGTCCCAGAAGGTGTTAGACAGGTGCTGGACCTGTCGCCACTGGCGCTTGTAGAGGTCTGAAACTCCAAACTCTCCGGTAGGGGCAGTCAAGACATTCACCTTTTGCGTGAGAAGGGCAGCTGGAGTGAGTATAAATGGATCCTCAGAGTCGGTTGTCACAGGAACAAGAGGTCTGCCATTTATAATGGCTGTAACTTCTGCCATGAAAGTCACCAGCACCTCGTGGGTAAGTTTGTCCTTCAGCTGAAGGAACATGGCGTCCAGGATTCTCCTTGCAAGACCAATCATTCTTTCCCACGAACCGCCAAAATGGGAGGCGTGCGGAGGGTTAAAGGTCCACGAGCAACCTTGACCTAACAGGTAAGTCTTCACAGTTGTGTTGTCAATGTTTGAGGGTATTTTCAACTCCCGGCAGGCGCCTACAAAGTTGGTGCCACGGTCTGAGCGGATGTGTTTGACAGGGCCGCGCACAGCAAGAAAGCGCCTTAGCGAGTTGACGAAGCTGGATGTGTCAAGGGATTCTATGACTTCAATATGAACCGCTCGTACACTCATGCACGTGAAGATTACGGCCCATCGTTTACTGTGTGAGTGGCCTCCTCTTGTTCTACGTGAAGAGACACTCCAAGGGCCGAACACATCAAGCCCAACATTCGTAAAGGGAGGTTCTGTTGAGAGACGGTCCGCTGGAAGACTGGCCATCTTTTGGATTGTAAGTGGGGCTCTAAGCCTTCTGCAGGTTATACACTGGTGGATGATGTTGCTCACCTTTCTTTTACCACCAACTATCCAAAAGCCAGCTGTACGGACGGCCCCCTCCGTAAACAGACGACCTTGGTGATAGATTTGTTCGTGGTGATGCTTGATGAGTAAGGTTGCAACCTGATGCTTGCCAGGAATGATCACTGGGGTCTTCTCGCTCTGAACAAGGTTTGCATTGTGGAGGCGGCCTCCGACTCTCAGAAGGCCGAGTGCATCAATGAAAGGATCCAGATTTTTGAGAGGACTATCTTTAGGGATCTGCTCATGTTTTTGGACACATTTGATCTCTTGACTGTAGGCTTCCTCCTGTACTGCTCGAATGATGATGTGCGATGCTTGATTAGATTCCTCAAAATTGAATCCTGTTTTGCAGTGATGCCAGCCTTTACAAAGGCTGTTCTTCAAGGTGCTGTTGAAAAGGCGAGCTATGTGTATGAGGCGAATAATGGCCCGAGTTAGCGACTTCCAGGATGAGAACCTTGCGAATCGCTGAGAACCGAGCTGGTTGGATGTTGTCGTAGTGCTCAAAGTGGATACCAGAGGGCGAATGTCTGAGTCTGCACTCGGGTCCACAAGTTCATGGGTGCTCTATGAGGTACTGGTCTCCGGTGTGTATAGAGATTTGGGCCCGCTCAGCCAGTTTGTGTCATTCAAACGGCCTGCAGTGACAGCACGTGTAGCGTGGTCTGCGGGGTTCTGTTCTGTTGACACATAGCGCCATTGATCTGGGCGAGAGGATCTTCGGATACGCAATACCCGGTTACTTACATACACATAAAAGCGCCTAGTTTCATTAGAAATGTAGCCAAGGACCACCTTTCTGTCTGAGTGGAAGGTTGTAGCATCGAGCTGAAGGTCTAATTCTGTCGAGATTAGGTCTGCTAACTCCACTCCAAGCACTGCTGCGCAAAGTTCCAGTCTCGGAATTGTTTGCTCAGGACGGGGGGCCAGCTTGGCTTTGCCCATTACAAATCCGACATGGTTATTTCCAGCAGAGTCAGTTACTTTTAGGTATGCCACAGCGGCAATAGCTTTGGTGGATGCGTCAGAAAATACGCACAATTCCCTTCTGACAGCTGTTGCGGGGGAAGTTGTAGTGTAGGCTCTGGGAATAGACAGCTGGGACAGTTCTGTTAAGGATGTTCTCCACGATGTCCATGATTCCTCCATTTCTCGAGGCAAAGGCGAGTCCCAGTCACCTTTCTCAGTTGTTAGCTCTCTCAGAATAGCCTTGCCTTGTATTGTGACTGGCGCTACAAACCCTAGAGGATCGTAGAGGCTGTTGATTGTTGACAAGACACCCCGTCGAGTGTATGGTCTCTTCTCATCGGAGACGCTGAATTGGAAGCAGTCGGTCTCGAGGTCCCAATTGATACCTAGACTACGCTGCATCGGCAGCGCATCTGCACTGAGGTCAAGGTCTTTAAGGTCTTTTGCACGATCTTCAGCCGGAAAGGCCTCCATGACCTCCTTGTTGTTTGCTGCGATCTTGTGTAGTCTTAGGTTGGATTTGGAGAGAATATCCTGTGTTTTTTTCAGCAGGTTGACTGCAGCTTCGACTGTGGGTAGGGACTTTAACCCATCGTCTACATAGAAGTCGCGCATCACAAAACGTTGGACGTCAGCGTCAATGTGGAGTTCACTGACCTGAACAGACTGGTGCAATCCATGAATCGCTACTGCGGGTGAAGGGCTATTTCCAAAGACGTGGACCGTCATTCGATACTCCACAATGTCTTTGGAGGGGTCGTTATCTTGGAACCATAGAAAACGTAGGAAGTTCCTATCGTCTTCCCTCACTGAAAAACAATAGAACATCTGCTCTATGTCCGTTGTAAAAGCGATTGCTTCCTTTCTAAAGCGCAACAGTACACCGAGCAGTGTGTTGTTCAGATCAGGCCCAGTCAACAGCACGTCGTTGAGTGACACACCGTTGTACTGGGCGCTGGAATCGAAGACTACTCGGATTTGGTTTGGTTTTCTTGGATGGTACACCCCAAATATTGGCAGGTACCACTGTTCCCCACCCACACCGGGAGGAGGGGCCAGCTCAGCGTGACCATTCTTGAACATCTTGTCCATGAAAATGAGAAAGTGGTCTCTCATTTCAGGCCTCTTTTCAAACTGGCGCCTTAGCGACTTGAGACGGTTCACTGCCTGTGGCCTGTTGTTGGGGAGCCTTTGACGTGGGCATTTAAAGGGTAACGGAGCTACCCAACTGTTGTTTGCATCTTTTGTTAGTCCATCTTTCATTATTTCCATAAAGGAGATGTCCTGGATAGACGGAGCAATGTTGTTGTCGTCTTTGGCCTGCTTGAATATGTTATGTCCTAGGCTGTCAACATCACAGTTTGGTATCTCCACAAAATGTGGTTGGAGGTGGTTTGTGGCCTGGGTGTCACTGTAACTTTCCTTTACCCGGAACACGTTAGGACATGGGTCAAAGAGAGTGGGGCGTCCCCGTTCTGTGGTGTTAGTGTAGAAGGCGCTGACTGTTGGTGGCTTATGAACGCGACCTAAACACACATTGCCCACGATGACCCATCCCAGATCCAACTTTTGAGCATAGGGCAGGTTGTGTGAGCCATTGACCTGTTTGCGGACCTTATGAACCCTGAGAATATCCCGACCTAAGAGAAGCATAATTTGGGCCTGTGGGTCGATCTCTGGGATGAGGTGTGCAACTGACTTTAAGTGTGCGTGATGAAAGGCTGCATTTGGAGTTGGAATCTCATCTCTGTTATTTGGAATGTCATCACATTCTATGAGGCTGGGTAGTGGAATGCTGACGGTCTTATCCAAAGATTCCACAATGTAGCCACTGGCCCTTCTTCCTGTCGCTTTCTTTACTCCAGCACATGTTTTCAATGAGTAAGGAGCACTTGGACTTTGGTCATTGAAGATTTCGAAGAACTGTGAACGAACTAGTGATCTGTTGCTCTGTTCGTCCAGGATCACGTACATTTTCACTGCTTTGTCAGCGTGGCCGGTTGGATACACTTTCACGAGGGATACTTTAGAACAGGATTGGCCCGTCATGTCTCTGCCACAGACATCTGTACATTTGGTGGCGACATGGGGTTGTGGAAAGCTATCCTCCTCCCCGCCATGCTCTGGAACCGAGTTTGTGTCTTCAACCCAAGGTGCAGGTCCAGGGTGAAGCGCTGTGTGGTGTTTTTCACTTTTACATTCATAACATCGAACATTAAATGTGCAGTTCCTTGCAATATGTGATGATGAAGCGCAGCATTTGAAACAGATGTTATTCTCTTTTAAGAATGTCTTCCGGTCTGCAATGGGCTTTTCTCTGAATGCACGGCATTATGGGGTGAGGTTTTTTGTGGATTGGACACAGTTGTTCACAGTCAGCGAATTGTGTTGGGGGTTCCCTAGGACCAGAGGTATCTTTTGGAAATATCTCTGTTTTGTGAACAGAGACTTCACGTTGTCTGTTTGGGTTCCAAGTTGTTTTTTCTGTCCTAAGAGACATGTCTGAGTAAGAGAAAAAGTTGAAACTTGGGTCATTTTTGACACTAGCTTCATGGCTAACAAAGTTTACAAAGCAGGCAAAGGGAGGATATGACATGTGATATTGCTGCTTGTAGGATGCCCCAACTGACGCCCACTTTTCCTGCAGACCAAAGGGGAGCTTCTGTACAATAGGGTTAACGCCTCTTGCTGTATCGAGGAAAGAGAGACCGGGCAGGTCTCCTTCATCTTTGGCTGACTCTAGTTCCTTTAAAACACATATGTCAGAGTCAAGGCCCGCGGGCCACATCCGGCCCGCGAGAAGGTTTTTTACGGCCCCTGGGATGATCTTGATTTATTATTAGAACCGGCCCGCAGACCGCAGCAAGCCGGCAGCCCGCAGATCTTTTACACGCACCAATACTACATTTCCCACAATGCAACGGTGACGCACCGAGCAGTAGGCTGCTTCATTTCAATATTTATTGGCACAGCAGTTGTCAGCATCACAGTAAAATTAACTTTCAGATACCCATCAAAAATGGCAAAACGGAAGGTGGACACTGAGAACCGGGGGTTTCAAACAAGGTGGGAGTCGGAGTATTTGTTCACGGAGGTAGCTGGAAAACCTGTGTGTCTTCTGTGTGGAGAAAGTGTGGCGGTACTGAAAGAGTATAATCTGAGACGACATTATGAAACGAAACACGCGGACAAAACAAGAATATGGACATGGAACAAAGGCTACAAAAGGCAGAGGAATTAAAACGAGGCCTCAAATCTCGACAGGCTCTGTTCAAAAAAGCCAAATCACAAGGCCAGGCTGCTGTCAAGGCCAGTTTTATTTTGGCAGAAGAGATCGCTAAATCAGCCCGGCCATTTACGGAGGGGGATTTCATCAAAAACTGCATGATTAAAGTTTGTGACGAAGTTTGCCCAGAAAAAAGGCAACTCTTTTTAAATGTGAGTCTGAGCAGAAACACCATTGCCGAGAGAGTAGACCAGTTGTCCATCAATCTAAAAGAGCAGCTTGTGAAAAAGGGAAAAGATTTCATTGCATATTCCTTGGCTGTGGATGAGAGCACCGACATTTCTGACATTGCTCAGTTGTCAATTTTCATCCGCGGAGTGGACTCCAGCCTAAGCGTGACAGAGGAGTTTTTGGCTTTACGTCCTATGCATGGCACAACTACGGGGCATGATTTGTATGAAGAGGTGTCAAGATGTGTAAATGAGATGGAGCTGCCTTGGGAAAAACTCGTGGGTTTGACAACCGACGGAGCACCTGCGATGTGTGGACACAGGAGCGGACTGGTGGCGAAGATACGGGAAAAGATGCAAGAGGAAAACGCGACAGCTTTATCAGCTTATCATTGTATCATACACCAGGAAGCGTTGTGCGGTAAAGCCTTGAAAATGGAGCATGTAATGAGCATCATCACGCGCACAGTTAACTTTATCAGAGCCAAAGGTTTGAATCACCGCCAGTTCAAGGCATTTCTGACGGAGTTAGAAACGGAGCATGGTGATTTGCCTTATCACACAGAGGTGCGATGGCTAAGCCAGGGAAAGGTGCTTCAAAGATGTTTCGAGCTTCGTGAGGAGATTTGTCTGTTCTTGGACAGCAAAGGGAAAGACACAACACAACTCCGAGACGAAATGTTTCTGTGTGAAATGGCTTTTCTGTGTGACATTACGAGTCATCTGAATGCAATGAACTTGCAGCTGCAGGGTCGGGATCGTGTCATCTCTGATATGTACAGTACAGTGAAGGCATTTAAAACCAAACTGACTCTGTGGGAGACGCAGATGCGGAAAGAAAATTTGAGCCACTTTCCCAGCTGCCAGACCATGAAAGAGAAGCTCTCTACCAGTGCGTTCCCGAGCGCACAGTTGGCTGATAAAATAGGTATGCTTGCCGCTGACTTTCGACGCCGATTTGCTGACTTTGAAGCACAAAAAAGCAGGTTGGAACTGCTCGGTAACCCATTTGCTGTTGACGTGGAAAGCTCACCACCAAACCTCCAAATGGAGTTGATTGACCTCCAATGCAATGATGCACTGAGGGCAAAATATGCGGCAGTGGGTGCTGCGGAGTTTGCCCGTTTCCTCCCCGACACAATGCCCCAGCTGCGCATCCAGGCTGCTCAAACGTTGTCTATGTTTGGCAGCACATACCTGTGTGAACAACTGTTTTCTTTGATGAACTTGAACAAAACATCACACAGAAGTCGACTTACTGCTGAACACCTCCACTCAATTCTGAGGATTTCCTCAGCTCAGAGCCTTACCCCGAACATTGATGAACTTGTGGAAAAGATGGGACACCACCAAGTATCACCCTCAACCTCAAACAAGTGAACATTACTGTGCAATCACATATTTAGAGTTTTTACTCAGTTCAAGTTTAAAAGTTAAAGTTTAATATTTGTTTTCACTGCATGTTACTTCTCCTTAAACAAAGTGTTGTTTTTGATTAATAGATTTTTGCACTTTATTTTATTGTATTTCAATCCAATTATATTTTAAAAATATTTCAGTTGAGTGGATGATAGAAAATTGCTATTATTGTTTTTTTCTTTGAAGTAAATTTAGCCCACTTTTGCTAAAATAGAAAATATAGGCTACTGATGGTGCCTTGAATACCGGTTTCTTTCATTTAATGTTCATGTTATGGGGATTTTTATATAAAGGAAATTTGTCTTTTGTGTCTGTTGAAAATTAAAGATTACTGACAGAGCCATAAGAAAATATTTCTTTATTTATCTGATCATATTGGAATATATTTGTTAGGTTTTCAGTAGGTTCAATTAGGTTCACTAGACTATATGCGTCATTTAAAAAATTTTCAATGAACATTCGAACAGTCCGGCCCTCGGCTTGTAGCTACATTTTTTATTTGGCCCTCCGTCCATTTGACTTTGACACCCCTGCTTTAAAAGATCACTCAACTTTGTTAGTTTGGAATAATCTCGATTTGTTAATTTTGGGAAGGCGTCAATACGTTTGAACAGAGCATCTTCTATTACTTCCGCAGAACCATAAGATTGTTCTAGTCTGTCCCATATCATGGCCAAGCCTGCCGCTGGATGGTTGATGTGTATTGCTCTTATGTGCTCGACATGTTCTGATGACTCTTTGCCGAGCCATTTAAACAGGAGATCCATTTCCTCGCTTGGTGTCAGGTCCAACCCTCTGGTTGCGTTCTGGAAAGAACGTTTCCAGGCTCTGTAGTTCTGAGGGCTGTCGTTGAATTGAAGCAGGCCTGTTGCCACAAGCTCACGACGAGCAAAGTATCTTACAAAGTCGCTAATGTTGGAGTTTTCATTATTGTTGTTTGAAGATGTGGGGTAGGATTTAAGAGCGGGATGACTTTTGTCGTTTTGACGTCTAAGACCTTGCTCAGGAGTAGCATTGCGGTTGTCAAACCGAACATTGTGTGTCGTTTGGACCTTCTCATCTTCGTAGATGTAAGGCTGCTGTGAGGAGAGGCGAGTTGGTTGAGAAGCTGCATTGTGGCTTTGTGTATGATGGGAAAATATATTGGCTTGAGCCGGATGGAATGAGTCTGCTTCAGGTTTGATAGATGAAGTTGGAGTTTCGTAGTTTTGGCTTGGCTCTCTTTTTGCGACAACACCATCATCAAGCAGCTGAGCGTCTGTGTTTAGTGATTCAGCTTGGTCAATCACATATTGTTCTGTGCGTTGTGCAGATTCCAAGTTTGACATCAAACTTTGTCTTTCACTATTTGCCTCTACCGCAGCTTCAAGGACTTCGGCCTCAGCTACAGCTGCAGCTGTCTCTTTCTTGTATTTGAGCATTTCTATTGAGGCTTCTAGCTTAGCTTTTTCTATCTTCAGGCTCATTTCCTCTTTAGCGTAGGACATGCGTGCCTTTGCTGCCTCTGCTCTCGCTCTCGCTTTTGCAGCAGCAGACCCCGTCGATGATACACTTGAGTATGTAGCAGAACATGTAGCGCGGGACCGCGTCTTTAATGAAGTTGCTTTCTCGGACATGGCGTTGTCTGTTGACGTACCTCTGTTTAGACACCGCTGTGATGGTCATCCACTGGTTGCGTGTGATGACGTTGTTAGTAGCATCTGTCAGTTGGCTGCGTTATCTTGCCCGGTAGAAAGCGTTGTTTTACTATGCCGCCCTCGGTATATGCGCTCCGATACACCTTGGCAGTTAGACGAACTCTTTTCTGACATCACGACTCTGAAGACAATGGTCCGTTGTCCACAGGTTTATTGACATGAGAAAGAGTAAAACTAAAACACACAAAAGACATAATAAATACAAATGAAGTGCATTGTCTTCGACCGCTACTCTATATATTTATGCTTATTTACTTTGTTATTTATTAAGTCATATGGACTTTAATGACAACCATAGCAGTGCAGTTACCAACCCAAATGACTCAATAGGCCATGTGCACAAAAATATCCAAACTAAACATTGTCACAAAAATAATCACCTGAGATGATAATGAACAATAAAACAAATCAATACGTACCAACGATGCTATCAAAAAGGTATAGGATGCAGGCAGACTCAACTGGATTGAAAAGCTACCAATACAAACAGCAGTTCTGAGCCATATTCTTCATTGACTTCCTGGTTCCTGTCACCTGACAAATTACATCACATTTCCTGTTTTCAAAATAAAACATAGCATTGATTTAACGTTTGTGACAAAACAGGCTGTATTGAGTTATGTTAGAATTATGGCATTAAGTTTTTCAAACTGAAATCCTGTTGATGCACGCAAAATGTGTTTTTTGTAATTGAGCTAAAAAGCGTTCGTCTCAGATGAGCTTGTGTCCTGCATAACTATGGTTACGAGAAACTCCCACCGTGAGTAAGCATGGCGTCCTGGAAAAACTCCCCTTTTACATGCAGACACTTGTTCTGGGGGCTCCGGATTGGCAGCCGTCCGCCTCGGCCGGTTGGTGTCGGTGCTGTATTTATGTAAATGTCATCACATCGACATATAGGAGCGTGTGTCTTGGAGCTTAATTGATGTATTCGTTCCCTTCACACAGCTCAGACCTCAGCTGACAAATTCTTTTCTCTTTCTGAGCCAGAAGGTCATCTTTAGCTCGAATGTTTTATCACCTATGTGATCGGAGCTGACGTGTGCTCTCGATTCCACGTCCTCTGTCGCAGTTGGTTCACATCGGCTTTTTGTGCTACCGGAGAGGACTTGGTTTCTTTGCTCTCGTGGGTCAGAAGCATTTTCCTATTTGGGTTTCTTCTGTCTGGACGGAGCTGCTGCGACATCAATCTGTAGGAGCAGCAGCTGATGGGCTTTAGCTTTAACCTCTTGTTGAAGATCCAACACCTGGATTATGGAAGCGCTTTTGCTCAAGTGCCTCGGTTGAATCTCAATGACATGGTAACGAAGCTCCTGGAATTCTTTTTCTGCTTCTAGCTCTCCCCGCTTGCATTCAGAGTGCGCTAAATTCCTTTCTGAGCTGCTTCCTTAACTCCATCACAGCTCTGGAGTTCAAATGAAAGTAATCGCCTCCACGTCGACTTTTGCAGAGTCCTTCCGGTCCGCTGCGAGAGCCGCTTCAAGATCAGAAATGGCGGCCTTCCTCTTTTGTGGCATCGTCTGCTGTATTCTTACTAAACACCTCCACAAAAGCTGCAGTTGGCAAACTGCTCTCAAAATTTGTCCGTATAATCTTCTAGTTTACCGATTTACGAATCAAAAAGGCTGTAATATGTTATTTTTTCTTCCCTACTTTATGTAACTGCGCCATGTCACTACTTGTCCTTACCTTTGGCTGGACTACAGTTTCATTGAGAAGACCATAAACAGAAGACTACGTGCGCACAGCAGCCTCTTGTGGCCACACATGGAAGTACACCATGTTTCTGAAAGGTCAAGAAAGGTCCCGACCACAGGGGAAATGGAATTTTACAGTAAGCATTAAAAGAGGACGCGCGTGCGTGCAAATGTGCAAGTTTGGTGTCAACTAGGATTTAAAAATTAGCTCATGTTTTGTGAGCGTGTGCAATGTGAGCGTAGGGAGCGTCTATGTGAGAGGAGCCATGTGGATGTTGACCCTCTAGAGCAGGGGTCTCAAACTCGCGGTCCGCGGGCCAATTGCGGCCCTCGGGCCGAAATTTTGTGGCCCCATCCTTAATATGAAAGTGTAATGTTAGTGCGGCCCGCATTGTCGACCATGCCGTTCGGACGCTAGTCTGGCCCGCGTTCGGTTGAAGTGGGCTGCATCTGGCCCGCAGCTGATTTGAGTTTGAGACCCCTGCTCTAGAGCATATATCAAACTCAAGGCCTGCGGGCCATATCCGGCCCGGCATGCAATTATATCTGGCCCGCGAGATCATTTTATATTATTGTTACTAATGGCCCGACGATATGAAGCGCTGACATCACAATAAACTACAGATCCCATAATGCAGCGCTTCAGCTGTCTTGCCGAGAGCTTTCGGTGGCGTTTCTGGCTGACAAAACCTCACGTCTCAATGCCGTAAACCTCCAGCTCCAGGGACGTGACCGCATGATCACTGACATGTATGACGCAGTGAAGGCATTTCCAGTGAAGCTGATTTTATGGGAGACACAAATGCACCAGTGCAACTTGCCCCACTTTCCCTGTTGCCAAGTAATGCGGAACAACGGTGTTCCCAAATACGCACTTTGCTGATAAACTGAGCGCGCTGCGCACGGAGTTCGCACGGCGCTTTGGTGATTTTGAGGAACAAAATAATAATATTGAGTTGTTTCGCAACCCATTTGCCGTCGACGTGGAAACTGCACCTGTGCAGATTCAGATGGAGCTGATTGAGCTGCAGTGTGATGGGACACTAAAGACAAAGTACGACACTGTTTATTCACTCCATTCCCGCAGCAATGCCCCAGCTCCGTCTACATGCGGCTCGAACCTTGTGCGTGTTTGGTAGCACATATCTGTGTGAGAAGCTGTTCTCAGTGATGAAAACAATACCGCACACAGGAGTCGTCTCACTGATGAGCACCTTCAGTCCATCCTGAGAGTCTCCACAACACGGGACCACACGAAAAACATAAACCAACTTGTTGCCAAAAAAAGATGCCAAGCATCCAGCTCTGATAAAATGGCATAAGAGAAAAGAAAACTGAATGTTTTGATTCGTTATTTGTTATTACTGAAAAGCACAAATTTTATTAAAATTTCCAGGTTTTGTTTTGTTTTGCAGTATGTTCATATTTCTAACTTGTATAATTTTGACTGGATATATTTTTATGGAGAGCAAGATATTTAAGTTATTTAAAGTTTAAGTTTATTTATTGCAGAATAACATTCCTGTCTGTTTGTATTTATATTTATGTTAAAAGAAACATTTAGTTTTAGTGTGTTCAATAAATGTTTATTCTGTTCGGCCCGCGACCTGAAGTGTGTTTTGAATGTTGGCCACCTGTGCAATTGAGTTTGACACCCCTGTGTGGTGGAAATTTGTGGATTTAGCCCATGTGAGAAATCAAAAGTATCTTGAGCTTGCTTTGTGATTAAGTATTTATTACTAACTAGAATATAGAAAAAAGATAAAGAATACAGAAATCATCAGCACAAGTCGTAAGCACAGACAGAAGTCAAATGACTACAATTCAGCTGAAAAGGGGCAGATGTTCCTTCCCCCAAAAGGAGCAGGAAGATCTGACAAAGTTGAAGAGGAGAACAGGAGCTTATATACACTTCAGGGAGGTTTGTGCTGCCTCAGGACAGGAGAGCCCACCCCTCAAAGAGGAGTGTTGGAAAAGTACCAGATGATGTAGGGGTGACCCCGTGACCCTCCCTTTATGGACCCAGACAATCAACAACATCTAAAAGGTCAGTCAGGGCACGTATGGTTTCATCTGTGTCTTATCTCACCCTGGACTGCCTTAAGTCACCGGCTCACATCAAAGGTCACATTCCTGAGTGCCTCACCCCACGCAGGCTCAACAATTTTCCCCCAACACCCTGCTCTAGAGGGAGTCAGAGCCTGCACATCCACGCAATCTCTTCATCGCTGGGAGGCGTGAGACGCATCTAAAGTAGACTTTGAACACGTATAAGCAGGCATGATGTGAAAGAGATGATATGTGTTTTTTTTCTTCTTCTGCCGCAGCCAATCATGCAGGCCGAGGAGAAAAAGAGCATCCCTATGCAGCGCATCAATTTCTAGGATTTCACACAAAGTACATCCCATCGCTCCCACTTCAATCTGTTACGGAACATATTGATTTGCCATCGGAGGCAGCAAAGTGGACTCAAGATTTCCACAGCGAGAAACTCAGTGGGAGAGGAATGTAAGTGGCAAGCAGCGGACTGGAACCGGGCAGCGTAGCTAATCACTCTGATCTCATTTTCTTATTTATATTCCCCCACCTGGGTGGCGGTTGGCTGTTAGATCAATTCTTCACTCTACTTCTTTTATGAGCAAGGAGCCACCAAAGCTACTCAGTACGTTAAATTATTCAATTGGGCCTGCTCTGTTGTTAATAGCAGTGATTATTCTTGCTTAAAGGGCATAATGTATCCCCTGACAGCCGACAGTGATACAAACCTGTCCCGAGGGACACAAATCTATCAGTGGCGCGAGTCTATCTGCTACGTTAGAGATTCCAGGCACCAGTGAAGCACGGGCAAGTAGAATACACTCATCAAGAACACAACATCAAGGCCCACGGAAAAAGGCTTGTTCCACAAGGCCACGGACATAAATAACTAAGCCCTCACCTCGCAGACGACCTGCAGTGAATAGACGATGGTTTCAAATGGCCGGGCAGTTGATTCTAAACGGTGCGAAAGCCTCTCTTATGTACGGTCAGCTGACTAAAAAAGACACACCGTGGTTTATTATGTAGCACAAGCACACTGTTTTTCTGCTTACTCAAACGGCCTATTTCGGTGCAGTTTGCAGTCACGGTTTTCCTTGTTCAACGTGCGGCGGTTTGCCTCCAGTTGTTTTGTTGAGTGACTCATTTGGTTACTCATCCCCTACCAGGAGAGGTCAAAATGCCAAAAGTGGTCATTCTGGGTTCCAATACCCTGGCTTTTTCTCTAACCCCCCCCCCCAGCACTATTATTACTACTTCCCCGGAGCTGGTAAAAAAACACGGACAAATACAGCTATTTTCAAACCAGTGTCAACGTATGAAAGGATATTTCAGCATCAATGCTTGAGCTGCCAAACTCTAAGCTGCTCTCTGCCGGCATGTTCCATTGTTGTTGTTGTTTTATACCAATAACTAATATCCAGCTCGCATCCAAGCGGAATTTAAGCCTTTGGAGGGACGGATCCGGATGAAGGCACAAAGAAGATCACTGGTCCTACAGTTTCTAGTCAACTGGCATATGTTTACAGTATGGACCAGATGGCAAATACATATTCAGACGGCACTGCACAGGCCTATTAATGTGAATGAAGACGTTTGCAATACAGACTTTCGTCTTATCACTAGTTTTACACAGATCAACGGCTTATCTGGAGATCCTGTTTAAAAGAGCCATATTGTGCCCTCTTACCACATGTTGATATTGGTCTTTGTGGTCCGAATGAAATAAAATTATTACAATCATTTGGTCAAAACACCACAAGGATCATTAGCAGCACCCTTTTCAGCCTGTATATAAGAGCTCTGCTCAAAACGGGCCGTTTGAGATCTTAATGCTGATGAGACAGCTAACCACTAAACAAACACAAAATGTAGGTATCTTTGTTGTGTACGTGTATGTACAGGCAGCCACATTAACGTGTAGAAGAAGTGGAATTTTCCTAATATATCCCGTTCAAATAACATGGGTTCAATAGAATGAGGCTGAATTCTCTCCACTGGGTGAGCTCCTGCCATAGGCTGAAAAGGCCAAATGCTCTTCATTAGCGGTTGCTTAAACTGGTTTGAAATATGCAGAGGGTGGAGAGGGTCTTTGGACGAAGATGCATGTAAACCGAGCGCGGTTAATGAGCGAGCGCACCGCTTGCTCATTAAGCCTGAAGCTGCTAAATGTTTGGCTGAAATGTTAGGAGGACATCCAAGCTTCTTCATCATCTTTAATCTCAACTGACCCTGCGACCCCAACAAGAGCTGGGGCAGAAACCAAGAAAATGAAAATAACAAAAAAGGACCTTGAAGGCATCACTTTCCTTATAATGATGACCAGATGCTCTTAAGCTCTCCCTTTAGTTCATTTAAAGGGGATCCTGGGCACAAGGCACTGCGCACGCTTCAGTCAATAAGCCAGTTAGCAGTAAGGAAAGCAAAATCTCATTCCTGACTTATTAAATGGGGGATTTGGTGTGGCAGGTCAGGGGTTGCAATTCAGGAGATTAGACACTGATTCTTTAATCGACTGACTCAGTCAGTACATCTCCTTCCTCCCCTCCCTGTTTTTGTCTTGTAAGAGGGCCTCTCTGGAGTAGCACTGAATATCAATCGCCTAATTGCGTTTCTGTTACCAGTAATTAACAGAAATGTCTCATCTGTCTCTGGAGTATTTACTGTGATGTTACATCCTCAACTGCAAGTTTACCGGAGGGCCAAGTTGTAGCGTTCAAAGTAAAGGGGACACCAGGAGCCAGTAAATACAGTCATTCCACACTCCTAAAAAGCAACACACCATCGGACAGAATTCCAGCAATTAAGCCGTGTTCATTTCCTGTGTCTAGACCTTGGAAGTTACTCGGCTTATAAGTGAAAGTGATAGAAGCAGCCAGACCTACAGCAAGCACATTTTTGTGTGTGCATATATATATATATATATCAGGGCTACAGAGGCAAATAGTGAGACAACATGCCACAGTGATGTACAGCATGCATTGATCTTGATCATCATCAATCTTAAAAAGCTCATGAAAGTATCCTTGCTACAGTATATCCATCGATACACCCTATTCAGTGAGCCTGTTCAGTATCATTAACTATCTGCATATCTGCGTCACGGGGTGCAATTTGCAACGGCCAATTTGTTTTTTAACAGCTCTCAAATGCAGATGAAGAAAAAAAAAACACCCACCTGCTCAAGGACCCAGTCTTTTGTCTAGCATGGAAGAAACATGCTCGGCCACGGGCCACGACACAAACCATTACTTGGGATTCAAAGACTTTCAAATATGTCTCTGCTTGTGTGGAACCCGGGGATTTTTGCTTTCCTTCCGCACAGCTACTGCCGTCAATCTCGCATGAAAGAAACACAGGCTAGGAATTAGAACAAATTATTCAGCTGGTGACCAAAAAAAAAAAGCAATGCCCTTTGCAAAGCACAATTGAGGCTACATGAGAAATATGACCAGAATCATTTTGCCTGCTTGTCTCCCAGAACTTGTTTCCCCAACTATTCCTAAATGTTACTATATTAAAAGGTTCAGTTCAGGCTGTGAACGTCAGAATGAAGATAACAGATCTCCATGAAGATCCAGGCGTTTGAAGCGTACGTTAACAGACCTCTAATTTACCGGGTGTAATTGAGTATTCAGGTCTTTTGGCTTTATGTCTCAGGCAATTGAGCATGTTGCTATAAAAATTAAGCAAATGAACGTTCAAGATATTGAAAACATGAGTCGAATGGTAAAGAGTTGGGCGGCGGGGGTTTATAATGACAAAAGGTTAATGAGGGAGATGCACACAGAGGAGTTTGTGTTTATTTGATTGAACACGCTTTAGACGTTTAAGCGTGAATCAAGAAGGATACGACTTCATTGGTGAAGATAAGGTCGAGTAGCAGATATATATGCTGTCATGAATTCAAAACAGAATCGTGAACAATAAAAATAAGTTATTCATGTTAAGTACATCATCAGTGGGCAAACTCTATTTGCACCTGCATAGAAAGCTCGTTAACGGCTCGTATAAGCGTTGTGCTTCTTTCGTGTATCGGCTTATTTAGAATATAATTAGAGATAATACATAGGTATTAGGTAGGAAATGGAAAGGTCTAATTGATGAAGTAACTTTTATAAATACACTTACATGATTTTGAAAAACAAATGTGTAATTTCTTGAGATATTTAAAATTTCAAGGTTTAAAACTCTATTTTTTGGAATAGACAAATTGATGCAACGTCTCTCTGGATACAGGCCTGTCTGTAAGTCTCAGTACAGGCACACATTGTTTAGCCTCTGTACTCAGCCGGACATGACAGGGAAATCAAAGTGCTTTGAGGATGCGCGAGAAAGGAAGTTCTGGTGTTTGGAGGAAATCTATATTGAGAAATTCTGGACCGTTTCTCGTGTGAGTTTATTACAGCGGCTGAGCAGTAGAGATTAAAGGGCTTAAGTTTGAAGGGGAAGCAAACAAAGGGTGAAAAGAAATACAGACGGAGCAGAAGGATGCACATATAAGGGGATCAAGCTAGGGGTGGTTGTTTTGGGTTGTATGGAGTGGGACCCAGACATCAAATTGATTATGAAGCAGAAACTCTTATCCGGTGTCTGAGCTCCATATCGCCGCTGTCGATCCCCATAGGACAGCAATCCTGCACCCAACGCACATCTTTCCCGGAGTTTCTTCATCAATACGATCCCCTACCCCACACACACACAACGCACCGCTCCTCTATGAACTCCCCTTCCCACGATCCGCCCACCACCTCGGGACTGGTGTCACGTGTCTCGCCGCCCAGAGTCTCTCTCTCTCTCTTACTCTCCCCACCGCAAATCAAACTCACCCAGCGCCCGGTGGAGAGAGAGAGAGAGAGAGAGAGAGAGAGAGAGAGAGAGAGAGAGAGAGAGAGAGAGAGAGAGAGAGAGAGAGAGAGAGTGGTGGGGGGGGGGGGGGAGACAGCAGGATGAGGGACGGAGAGGTGCGCGCGGACAGAACGCACCTACCAGGCCGCTCGCTGGAGGCGATCCGCAATGCTTCATCTCCGCAACGAAGAGGGATGTGACGAGGCATCTGAGCAGGACGGCAGTGTGTGTGTGTGTGTGTGTGTGTGTGTGTGTGTGTGTGTGTGTGTGTGTGTGTGTGTGTGTGTGTGTGTGTGTGTGTGTGTGTGTGTGGCGGGACGAGGGGCGCGCGGCTGCTCTGCTCTCGCTCAACCGTGGATCGAAGACGATCCCTGCTCGCTGTCTTTATTTCAACCTGCGCGGAACTCTCCCCCGGGGGGGACGACTGGTCTTCGCCATGAGTGCTTTTTCAGCCAACTTGTTCGCCCTCCTTTTCCTGTGCGCCCTCGCGAGTGTTTTCTACGTCTGGAGCGTGCTGGAGAACCGTTTGGAGCGACACAAGCGCGGGCTCCCGGTGCCGGGCGCAGGCTCCTCTCGCCGGGCTCCGCCGGAGGACCTCTCCGCCAAAACTTTCCGAGCACTGCTCGCGGTCCCGGCGGCACAGAGACCGCACTCGTGGGGCAGACTCGAAGCCCCCAACCTCATCGATCAAACCGCGAGGGGTTACCATGTGAATGGGGACGACAGGAGGTCAGCGCCGCGGGAGGGCGCGGTCGAGTTGGGCTCCCCGGTGGAGGATGGGATCTTTTGGAGCGACTGGCTGGAGGATCTCCTCCCCGCGGGCTTCACGGAGGAACATGCTCGGGCTTGGAGGGAGAGAGCCAGGACGCATCGAATCGTGAAGCTGGAGCCGGGATGCGGCCGGGTGTCGAACCAGCTCGCCACTTTCGCGGACGGCACCAAAGCGTGCGTGCGCTACGGGATTAACGCGGATCAGGTGCAGGGCGAAACTTTGACGTATTACGTGGCCAGTTTGCTGGGCATCGCCAACCTGCCCCCCCTGGCGCTCTCCCAGCTGAGCGGTGACAGCGACCAGTGGGCGGCCGTGAGGACGCGCATCGGTCAGTGGGGCGATCGCGCCGTGGTGTCTTTTACCGAGTGGATCTCCAACCTGACCGGGGTGATCACGCCGGCGCCGCTCAGGCAGGAGAGCGGCGGGCTGCATCCCGCGCTCGGGGAGCTCCGGAACAAGACGGCGGCGCAGCTGCTGGAGCTGATGCAGTGGAGCGACCTGATCGCCTTCGACTACCTGACCGCGAACTTCGACCGGCTCGTGAGCAATCTGTTCAGCCTGCAGTGGGATTCGCGCGTAATGGAGAGGGACACCAACAACCTCCTGCGGACGCCGCGCGGGGACCTCGTGTTCATTGACAACGAGGCCGGGCTCGTGCACGGCTTTCGGGTGTTGAACATGTGGGAGAAATACCACAACACGGTGCTGAGCTCCATGTGCGTGTTCAGAAAAAGGACCACGCAGCGCGTGTCTGAGCTGCACAGGCGCAGAGACACCGGGACGAGGCTGCGGGACCTCTACAGAGACAGCGAGCCTTTGTCTCTGGAATTGGGATTTCTCTCGGACGAGCACGCCGGGGTTCTGCAGGACAGGATAGACCGATTATACCAACACATTTTGCATTGCAAAGAAAAATACGGCCAGCTGTGAACATTCAGCATGCGCAGGTGATGGATTTGTTGGTTTTAAAGAGCTGCGCATGACGCGGGTGGCACACCTGTGCCGGACGGATGCGCGTTACGCTAAACGGCCATGGACACCCAGCTGAACTACCTCTTGTAAATAGAATGCGACGCTTACTTTAGAAGTAAGTACATTTGACACACGTGTTTGTAAGATCTCCACTGTAATGCCTCACAGAGAGGACGTACTATCTCCCGTCCTATTCTCCCCACCAGTGCGTAACCATAAAGAGTGGTCGGGTATCGTAACGCGGCCCATACATGTGCACTTGGATTATTGCGTGGTGTTCAGCAATCCTAATGATACACTTCTATAAACCTTAACGTGAGTTGACTCTTGAATCCTGTAATTCTGTTGAAACCTGGCTCGCTTTATAAAGAACATTGTTTGCACATTGTCATAGCAGCACCTGCACTCCTTTAATTGTGTTTGAATTGCATATTCAGCCTCATGTAAGTCTCATGTAACACTTGTACATGTTGTAATGTAAATATTATTATGCCAACATATGATGCTCCGCTAATTTAACGTGCCGTGTAACATTCCAGATTATCTTGTCCTTTTTTTGATAAATACACTGTAATTTAATTGAACTGCTGTCAAACTCTGTGTTTTGTAATGCAGTTTGTACTAAACTGACTCATTGGAGCACATCAAATATGTATCTAGTCCTCCTCTATACAGTACCTCCTGCCTATGTAAGACGCTTTACAGAGCTCTTATTGTGCTGTGGAAACATCTTGTACTAGCACACTGTTTCCCAGGAGCCGTTCTGTCAGCCACTCACACGCTACAAAAGAAATCCCTAATCCTCAATATAATCTCACCCATAATGATAAAGTGAAGGAGACGACTGACATCCATTTTGACGTCCTCTGAGAGGCTTTCAACTATATCAAAGTGCAGTTCTTTTCACAACAACGAGATTATTTTGCAGGATACTCAGTCAGTCTAGTCATGAATAAATCGTCAACCCGCGCCCAAGGCCGGGTTTGGGTTTATTGGTTCAATGTGTTTAGCCAAAAGTCAAGAAAATTCCCTCTGCTGATGCATGTGCCGCTCAGAGACCAAGCCCGCAATTAATGAGCTCTCAGAGAGCCTTGTTTACAGTGAGAGGTATTGGGAAGAAAGGGAACACCGGGCCCGGAGGTCAGCTGCATTATTGTTGCCTTATGCTTTCACTTAGCACAACCACATCTTTCTTTAATTTGACCCCCATTGGAAGGCATCCTCTCCTTATTAGTTCCACTACAGGCGCAGCTGTGTGGACTTGATTTCTGGTTCTAGACTTACGAGCACATCAGAGGGAAAGTCAATGATCAAAGTTCCAAAGGCTTAATCCTTTCCAGGCTCTAACTTGTACCTCATCTGGTTTCTTTTACAACTTTTGTTTGAATATGGCCAACTCCAGGGGCACACCCTCACTGCTAGCACTTTTTGCATTTTGTTCAAATTCTTCGATGTGCACTCTGCACCTCATTTCATGGCATACATTTTCCCATCAGTGAATTATGTTTCTCCTTGCTGGGTCTTGCCGTATAAGTGGCAGAGGAGCAGCAGAAGCTCGGGCAGGTGTAACTGGAGGCCTTTTGCAGGCATGCAGATCTAACGGGGGACTCGGGGGGAAGCGGGTCATGGTAATGTGCTGGGTGTAGTAGGGTCAGTGTGTTAGCGTCTGTCGTTCAGAGGGGGACAGGGGTTGCAGCTGGGCCCTGAGCACGTCTGTTTATGCTAAACTCTGCAAAGAGAGAATTACGACAGGCTGCAGACATCAGGGATTAGACACAATGCTCGACTTCTCGGTCTGCGGGTCTAAACCAGACTCACTAACCATCCTCCTTTCCCCTGCCTTGCACGGTCAGCCGCATCTCGCTCTTCCTGCCACATCTGTCTTCCCTGTTAACATCACTTTCAACTCTGCATTTGTTAGTTAAATGGAAGATGAAAGTTGAAGTTTTTTTTTTTTAGGAAGGAGGAGAGAAAGCTATTTTTTTATCCCGTGACCATGCCAGCTGTAATCACCCTAATGGTGGATATCAAAGAGGTTGTTGAATGCCCGTTTTAACTGTTCACATATGTTCCTCGCTCGCGCTTTTCGTCTGGTTTATTTCAGATCACCAAACAACGCCCCCACCTCCTTATTCTTCTACCCAAAGGCAACAAAACTGTCATGCACATAAGTTGGAACGTTGACGCCTTGTAACTTGACATAACGTGACATGGTTCAAATGAGTGCAGCGTGTTCCAGCTTGAGGGGCTTGTTTTTTGCGTCAGTACGCTAAATCACAGGCTCAGACAGTTACGGTTCATGTTGATGCAACAAATTTTAAAGGCACAATCTGGGGGAAAGCGATTTAAAGTTTGTTTCGTGCAGAAAAAGAGACAAGATCGCACCGTAAATCCCCTTGATATATTTACACTTGTTTCGTAGGCCTGTGTATAAATGGCTTGTAATTTAGAGGTGCTGATGGGGTTCTTTTTGTCAAATTCACTTGGAGACGATGTTGTTGAAAAATGTGCTGGTTTGCACAGCTGGCGCTGAAATAATGAACTAACCAGAATTTATGAAAGTAATTATCATCAAGTGACAGTCGCTTACTAAACGCATGATATCAAATATGAAGTACAAAAGAGTAAAAATGGGTGTTTTGCTAGATACCAGGTGACTCGCTGACTTATACTGCCTCTGTTCGGGTGGGCCATGTGTCAATGGACGGCCATTACTTTCATTCTTTCATGGCTATGCAGCGCAAAGGGGAACTTCCTGCCCAGGCCTGAATGATTTCATTATGAAACACGGCACATACTAGGGGGAGAGTCCGTTAGTCACAGCTGAGTGGACATGGGCCGTGACGGGTAAACTGGGGGACCGGGGCAACGACTTGAGGGGCTTCGGCTTTGGACACAGCCCGGCTTGTGGTGTATCTGGAAGAGCTGGCACAAAGTCTGGCTTTGTTCAAGCCAAAGGCCAGGAACCTCCGGGCGTTCTTTCTCAAGACAGTTTGGAAGGTAATAAGGAACAGAGTCAGGCGGGGGAAAAAAAGATCTGAGCATTCCTCAGCTAATAAGAGGAGGAAAAAAAGAAAACGGGTCGAAGTGTAGTGACCTCGTCTGTTTTCATCTCGGCATGTGTGCGTCCAAATTCATTTTGAGTCCAGCCCACGATGCCTAGTCCACTAGATGGCTAGTTTTCTCGTTTCGAGACTGTCCACAGGGGTTAGTTTTGGAATTACCGCATGTAGTCTCATTGCATCACATGCTGCCAGTTTAACAAGGCTGTGCACCTGGAAGGATCAGCAAGGACACCCAGTTCTGTCAGTCTCTGCCACATGGACTTACTTTTTAAGTCAGCTGTGACAGCACTCAAGCATTTGATAACTCACAGCCTATACGAATAGGAGCGGAGCAGCAGAGAAAAAGTTAAAAAAGTCGAAGCAATGGGTTATGCATAAGGGCAATGAGTAATGTGTGTGACCATGTGAAACTCTATGACAGATTTCTCCTTTCACGAACAAGAGATTTCCCTAAACTCTGATGGCCAATGTCTTCAGCCATTTAACTTGTGTCCTTGGATGGGAAATTGTTTTTTCCGGGCCTCCGTAGCAGTAATTCATACACAAGGGAGCGGACTCATCCGTCCAGCTGCTGTCCGTTCTCTCAGGGCCGCCGTCCCTGCACTTTTTGGAAAAGATTACATCCAACGTTTCCATCCAAAAGCTGCGTTGCTTCCACAGTGCTGTTGTTTTTTTTTCTCCCTCTGTCATGATTGCCAGAGACTCGGACCTCCGACGTCGTTAACATTGACAGAAATATTTCAGATAACGCAGACGTGACATTGTTGTATTAAATTCCTTGTTAGAGTTCCATGTTATCATTAGATTTGGATAGCAATAATGTAGCCCACAGTATGCATACAAATATAGGCATAGAGATCTGAATTAATCCTTTAAACAAGTACTGTTTAACCTAAATTTTGGGTTCCTTCTATTTTCTCTTAATACAATTTGCTTCATGCCAGTCATGCCACGCACAAAAAATAAATCCTGATTCATTTCAGCACTTAATTCCATCCAATTTGTTATGCCTTGTCCCTCAAGCTCCGTTTCCAAAATGTCAGAACATAGCCTGCACTGTCATGATGTTAAACAATTCCATTTTATATTACAAAATGAAAAGGCAACTTTCACCTCTATAAATAATGATGCATTTCTTTGTGCAGGCTGGGTGAAACACGTTGCCAGAAGTAAAAGTGGTAAAACAAAAGGTAAGTAAAAGCCGTAGATTCAGCGTGAGCCCTTTCCATCCATAGCATGTCTTAAAATTTGGGTTTGTTTATGTGCTGCATTTAGGCATTAGGCTTTTATTTTGTAAAAGCTTTTATTTTGAAATGGTTTCATGCCTTAGGAGTTCCGGGAGCTAGTTTCCTGTTAGTGGTTAGAGAAAGATGGTAGAATTAGCCAACATGCTTTCGTCATCCATGGCAATCCACATATTGCCATGGATGACGTGCCATGGATCATTTCATTGTTTTAATTGTAATGTATAAGTTAAGATGCATATTTACAGTAAAAGGGGATTTGATGACTGTAATTAAAAACGTTTTATTCACATATGTTTACGTAGGACTAAACAATTTTGTACCTTGTGCTTCTTACAGTTTTCATTTTCTGTCTGTGACATGATATAAAGAGCCACAGTAAACAGCTTGAGAAGCTACTACGACTCAACTCTCATTTGGAGGAAGAGTTTAACTAGTTGAATAGCTGCGGTTGCTACACTGTAGCGAAGACAACATAGTTTATCAAATTGAGGTTTACCCAAGCGTAACATTAGCTCCCTTGTAAAGACTGTGCTGTGTTCAAATGATTTCCCTTACTTTCTCCACCTCACTTCTCCTGAAACGTCACACAGGATCTTGATTGACACGCTTGATGGGCTTTGATATTCCTCCGGGTGATGCCTGTTGATGCCTCCGTGCAGCCCGGGGACCTGCTTCAAGTACACGCCGTTTTGCTCGTTTGCATCTGGATTCATCTCTATGCAAATGTGAATTAGTATGCTGGGTTTTTTCTGTCTTACGCTGGTTTTGCCGTATCCGGCAGATATTGTTGACCATTTGTTCTCATGGCCATTAGCAACCAGTTAAGCCTGTGGCCGTAATTACGATAGTTCTATGCAATTGTTGCGATGGGAGGATATAAATCAGCCCCGGTGCTGAACAAAGAGTTCATTGGTCCAAATGACATTGCGTGACATTGCGGGGGACGAGGGGGAGGAGGGAGAGCGGATACTTTTTTATAATTCTGTAAAGCTGTGTGACAAAAGCACTCAGCAAACTCTTACACTTGCATTTATTTTTATTTAATCTCACTCTAACTCAACATCGTGAAAATAGCTGATTATATATTTTCATCACTAGAGTTTTCCTTTTTTCGCAGCGTGCTTTGACCGTGTCATGCGGGCTTTGTCCTTTCCCCTGCCCGAAGTGCAGAGTGAATCGATGCGCAGAAGGGTGCGAGGACGCCAGATACTTGATGACAAAATGCCTACAAGCTGCTGAAACAGCACATTCCTTCCTGCTAGCTGACCTTTGGCCCCCTCAATGTTAGTGTTGACTCTAAGCAATGCCTGTCGCAGACCCGCGCATGGTCACTGTAGTCGTTTTGAAATATAGCACCGCCGGCTGCGTTGGTGTTCAGTAATTTGGTCATTTCTATGTAAATTGTTGTACCAAACAAACGCTCCGGCTTGCCTCGTTCAGTTATGGTACCCTGTTCCACTGAAATGGTGAGAGCCAAGTGAGAAAATGTCAGGACAGTCAATCAGTTAAGTAGCAGGGTCAACAGGAGTGTAGATACAGAAGAGAAGGGCACTCAGGCATGCAGCGACAAAGACAGGCAGAAGAGCCCGGCAGTCGTTTTGGGTGGTGTCCTGGTGCCGGCCGCCCTCTTTAGAGAAGGGAAGAGAGGAGCTCTCTGCAGACACACATTAGGGGGTTTATGACTAATTCTGCAGTATCACTGTGATTTGAACAAGATTGGACACGCCTTAGTGAAGGTGAGATGGGACTATCGAATACGGGAGACAGCGGACTGAGGCAATATATAACAAAGGAGGCACATTTTCACACACGTCACAAAGGAAATAGGCTTCTCGGACTCCGTTGCTATTGTACTCTAGAATTGTAAGTGTAGTTTAGTCTGAAGAGGTGTGTCTTAAGTTCGGGTTAGGACGTCGGGTTCTACCATGTCCTGCATGTAGACTGGACCCGAGCCATTCACAGCACTGGTAGCCAGTGAAGAGAGCGGAGGAGCGGAGTGGTGTTGGAGAATTTAGGAAGGTTAAAGACCGGTCGCGCTGCTGCCTTCTGGATAAGCTGCAGAGGTGGAATGGCTGTGGCAGCGACACCACTTAAGGTACGGATGTTGGCAGCATTGCATTATCGCAAAAGATGCTCTGCGTTTGGACTAAGTTTAAATAAAAGTGCTAAACCAAATGGTCTGTACTTGTAAAGAGCTTTGTTAGTCGTCTGACCACTCAAAGTGATTTAACACTTCATGACATCATTCACCCATTCATACCCATTCAAAGGAGCTACCATACACAGTGCCACCTGCCCATCAGGAACTAGCATTCACACACTGTAGTCACAGCTACAGGAGCAACGTTGGGGTTAAGTGTCTTGCTCGAGGACACATCGAACACGCGGGTCAGCAGGGCCTGGGATCAAACCGCCAACTCTCTGCTCGGAGGATAACCGGGCTCTCCGCTCACCCACAATTGCTCCCAAGAGCACATTTAAAAAAAAGAAGAAGAAAAACGAAAATGATGGAAAGATAACGAAAAGTGAAACCCTAAGCCAAAAAACAAAAGTCACGCCATTCGTGTTTGTGCGGAGTTGGCCAGGTGAGACAGCGGACACGGCTACCCATGTGCCATTCAGCGAAATTGAATCCAGTCATGCTACTTTTCCTGTATTTTACAATATAATATAATCACATGCCAAGAGATTGCCTGTAACCACCTGTAACCGAACCCATCTCAAATCAGGAAGTCCGAGACAGCCGTCACAACCACTGCAGGGTAGGGCGTTGAAAGGGGAAACAACGCAGGGGGTAGCGGTTGACCTCCTTCCCCGTTGAGTGCTTACTCAAGCTGCAAACCTTTGTGTTTTAACTGTATACTTTGCACAACACATCCTTTGGCAACACCACTAAAGACGAGCCTATAACAGACGAGGCAGCGGTTGGAGGAAATTCAGAGGTGTCAGCAAGATTCAACAAAAGAAAAACACATTTTGTGGCTGCCGTCCCTGTCCTGTCCACTTGTTCTATATCTATTACTTTAAATCTTTTTTGGCCCGTGCAAATGTTGCCATTATGAGATGCTGGAAGCGTTGATTGATGGTGGGACGGGACTAATCATCTGGGCTGGTTACGAAGACATCTTCCACAAAATCAATCCTACTGAGAGGGAAACTAAATCTTTTTGGGTCCCACAGTGCTCGGTAATAAAGTACTGTCTACCATAAATGGAATATCTGGTGTATTCTCTCATTTTGTCTCATTCCATTTCTTCAATTTTGAACTAGCTTATTTATTCTATATCATTTATCCTTTCAAATAAAAATAAAAGTGGGTTTATTGGACTCTTGGGGGTTTGGAACATATCATTGTATTGTACATATCATTGTATGACCAGATATAAAGTTTGAAGTTTGCCTTCCTTCCGGTCACATGATACAGCCTTTTCACATTTTTCCATTTTCAAAGGTGTCTCTTCAAGGACTGACTGCACGCTTAAAAAAAAAAAAGTTATTGCCACTGCATAAAATAATCGTTTTAAATGCCAACTCCTTCTGCTAAATCACAATTTGTCTCTGTGACTTTGCATTTGCAGAAGGTCACGGAAAAACGTCTGTGGACGTTTGCAACACGCAGGGCTTCTGCCTCTTAACAATGCAACATAGCTTCACAGAGGAGATTACGCATAGTGCAAACGGCATGGGAGAGAACGACCACAGCGATTACAGCGATATACAATTTTCTCCACTTTACGCTGCACTGCTTGTGGATTCAGCGCGCACATTTACAAAAAAGGGATACAGAAGTGTTTCTTTCGCCGTGTCTTTAAATGTTCAAAACGTCTCTTTTACGTCTTTTTTTCATTCCCTCCGCCCTCTCTCTTTCTAATATACACTCATTAAGATTTTCCCCTTCAAGTTGCCCAGCTTGGCTCATTGTCGGGGTGGAAAGCTGATGTAACTCGTGGCTCCTATTCCCAGTAACCAGGGCGATCCGAAAGGGCCCAGTCCTCCCACCACTTAATCAGACCACTGTTTGTTCGCTCTCCCTTTTCTCATGACCAGGGCTGCCAACCACAAACCAGCCAGGCATTAATGAAAAGCCAAAACGACCTCTTTATCTTCCCTCACACGGGAGCTTCAGATGAATTCAGGAAAAAAAACAGGTAAATTTCACCATTTCTGAAAACGTACATACATATTTATACGCTGGTCCCGTTTTGTTTTCACACGAGCCCTCGCGTTGTTTTCCATACCGTACCTTTGCATCCTCTCTAACCTGCTTGGTTTTTGACATTGCAGAGAGCTGCAAAAGCCTGATGCTAGACATGTGTTTGTGTGTGTGTGTGTGTTTTAAATGTTGTGTTGGCCCTCAAGTGACACAGTGAGGGTATAAATAGGCCCACAGATCACTGTGCCAGACAGAATGTGGCATCTGCTGTGCTGGGAGTGAAATGTGTTTGAGAGCCTCTAAACTCCTCTCCATTCCTCTTTCCTCCCATCCTGGTCTCTCGTTGTCCTTCCTTTCCCTTTTGTCCTGTCTCGTTGACTCCCTGTCTCGCTTTACCGGCACCATCTTTATCTGGAGGAGGCAAGATATGTCTCTTTCTTCCTTCAGTCTTCTGCCTCATTTCCCTTTTGCCCCCCCAACATCCCCCCCTCCCCCTCTCACATCTGCCGCCATGTGTTGAGTCTTGAGGAGCAGTCCCATTTTCAATTTAGGCTGTAAGATCCTCTTTCTAAACACACCGAGGGAACCGGAGAGTGGGTAAAGAGATATTGACACAGTGTAGAGTAGGAATAGCCGACCGTGCTGTGGTAAGATTCCCTGTAAAAGAGACACATTCACTTGGTTTACAAAGTCCTCTCCAAATGTTTCATGCAAAAACAACTTAATCTGGTGGGATTACGTGTTGCGGTTGAGAGGAAATTTAGGGTGGGAAGAGTGACTATGTAAGAGCAGGAGAATAAGGCAAAGTCATTGTGATTCTCTGCAGGTTACTTACCAGCCAAAGCAGATTATCAATCCTACGGATTTAGCGATTCATTTCCCCGCTCTCAGTAAAAGCCACGGCAAAGGGACGGTGACCCCTCTGCCCTCTCCCCTCTGCCAAGAGACACAATGCAGAGATCTGTAAAATATTACACAACTATGCGTATCTTGACAACATGACTCTTTCAAAGCCCCCCCCCCCGTCACACTCCCTCTATACACACACACACACACGTCGCATCAAAATTAAATTAATGATTTCCTTCTAGCGTCACTGAACTAGCTGTTCTCATTCATCTATCACTTTTTTTTAAATGTATTTATTTCCCATATATGAGAGAGTTGTGTGACCCACAAAGAGCCGTGGTCGGATTTCTTATTTCTAATCTCAAAAACCCTCAAAAACTGTGAAAAAGCAGTTTGGCAGCCAAATGGAGCATTTCTTGGCAAGTTAAAACCCTCTTTCCCCTTTCAACGGTGTATATTTTCCTATCTCTCTCGCACACTCACCTTAGAGCGGCCTCTGTTTTCAGTGCGCTGTGAACTGGGTCCAAGAACCACCAAGCGAGGCCCCCAGAGGATGGCGTACCGGGATTTAGAAGGTCGGAAGGCGTCTGGCACGGGCACTCGTCCATGCAAAGTTTGCATGGGCCACGTGATGCCGAACGTCAGGGGGCACAGAGGACCATTGTGACCCGGCGCCCACGTTCAGGGGCCCGGCTGAGAGGGACCAGAGACCAAAACACTGAATGTCATTGTTATTTAGTGCCAACGACCTGCTCTGTGCCCTCTGCTATGACGTCATGGCATTGGTGACGTTGGTCCAGCTGCTGCTAAGCACGCATGTCTGCTCAGCGAGGCGGTTGATGACAGCGTTGCGGGAGCTCGAGTTTTCACACTGACGTTCATTTCACTTTGCAGCTGTATTACTATGTGCTCAAGCAATCTTTCAGTAATAAAGTTTTGGATGCTCTCTTCTGTGCAAAGTGCGACTCAGTGGGGAGTCCACATTTGTTTGCTCATGACGAAGCGCAGATGTGTAACAACTTTAGACAAACCGCCCATTGTGTTTAACTCACCTTTTCTCCCCCTTGATGATAAGAATGAATCTAGGTCAAACTGGACTACTTCCCGTTGCAGGAAGGCTTGCGTTAACTTCTGACCCTAAATGTACATGTGACACCAAGTGGGGGGCTGTTTTACTTCTAACTACTGGAATAACACCAGGGTCTTTTCTTTATCATAAGAGGGAGAAGTACTCGAGCCGGACTGAACAATACAGGTTCGGTTTACTCAAGGAACAGAGATCATATTGTGGTACAAAACGATAATTTATTAGTACATCAGTAAAAACAAACACCGTAAAACTATTCTAATTTGTCTGACAGCTTATCACGGAACAATCTGTGTACTTACCCGGGTCCCTAAACACGGTGAGGGTAGGGCGAGCGTCAGTGTGGAGGCAGCGAATCCCCCAGTACATTCATGTAATCACCCGTGCAACCTATAAACATGCAACCCCCCCCCCCCCCCCCCCCACACACACACACACACACACACACGGCAACTCACTCACGCAACGGCAAAACAAAGTGCATTAAAAACAGTTCATGCAATATCACGCCACATGCTAAAATCTGATCAACAAATTGACGATCCGGTTCATAAAATTAATAAAATGCATATAGTGTACACCAGAATACAGCCATGATTCTGAACTGTAATCAATAAAGTAATGACAATATTGTAAAACCACTGTAATTCTGCAACTGTAATAGAATAATACCAATGCAGTTATGATTGTATTTGATGTAATGTAATCAACTGGAATGCATGCATGTAATACTTGCACAACAACTGATATTGACTAAGGATCATTCGAAATCCGAGTTACATTGAACTCACCAGAAGACCACTCCCAGAGGTGTGGACACTGACTTTCACACCTTTAAGCATTGTTATAAATACCTGTAGGAACCATTGTTCTGGAGTTCGCTGGTGGAGGCAGCAGACGGGCACTAGGGATGGTCAAAGGACTGACCTGGGGCCTGTTGGTTGCTGAGACCAGCGGCTCCTCAGCTGAGATGTTCTTTTTACCACAACGCCATCTTCTTTATTAAATACATTTGATTTTAACCTTTTGATCAGCGATGACCTCTGTCCGTCCGGCGTTTCTTCATTTTTGAACACAACAATTTGGTGACCCCGACGTGATGGAGAGCAATGGACGGACGGAAGAACAGCTGATCTGAACAAAGCCCAGCGATCGATTTTCTTCACTCACACGGCGCCATCGAAAAGGTAACCGGCAACCAGTTGTTTTAAAACCGAAATGCTGTATAGTTTATCATAGAACATTTAGGTGTGAGTGGACAAGATAGATGTTTTGAGGTAAACTACATTTTAGAGAAAAAATAATGTTTCTCTTAGTTTGGATGGCCGTTTTGATAAAAAGCACATTGTATATAGTGTTTGTTTGGACGTCTTTTGTATGAGTTACCGACGAAGTTTCGGTTGTGTAGCGTTAACGTTAAGCGAATGGGTGCCGTTATTTCACTGTATCTGTCATAGAAGGAATGAATGGATACCTAGTATAGGCCTCAACCGGATGAGGGTAAACGTATAGCTGACTTATAGATTAGTTACGTAAGGCATAGTGCCTGAAGCTCTAACAGAACCAAGTCCCCGAGGCGTATTGAGATCGTGATCGTATTGTCAATACTGGGAGAGGGGACGAGGTTCGCCGGCTAGTGGCGACTGCCGTGTTGTCTCGATAAGCTCTCTCACGTTCTGTTAGAAAGCACAATATATTAAAGTATGGACTAGACGACGCCTATATGGCTAGAAAGCAAGATTAAAAATTGGAATCGGTGAGGACAGAGCTACGAGCCATAGTGCCAAGAACTAACTAAATTTGCGGAATAATTGTATGCAGGAACAAGGCCAGAGTCATGGCGACATGGTCAGCATAGAATTAGATTGGAAAAACGACCCAGATTGCAAAATTAATGGTAAATTTACAATACATAACGGTCGGTGAATAACGTTGCGAACTTGTATATAATTGTATGTTGCATGTTTCGAAAAGAATGAAGCCAGATTAAGGATTTGATTGGGGCCTGGTCTTGGGGAAAACGGAGCACATGTTTTTGGAACATTACAGGATGGCGGGCGGAGACAAATAGAGAAAACAGTTAAAAGATGGCTGAGAAAGAAATTCTCAGCACAGTCTACAGAGGAGATAACAATGACTTGTTATCCACCACTACTGGGGGTGGAGAACATGTGCTTTGGAGATTTCCAAAATGGCAGCCGGCAACAGTTAAAAGAAGAAAGTGGCACCGGATGTAACAGTTTCTGTATTTCCCACCTCCACTCTGTATTCCCATTAAACAGTGTCTCCCCTTGTCCCCATTTTCCAAATGATCCTAACATTTTTCTTCCTCCATTCTTAGGACCATGTGATTTTTGCTTGCATTACAAACGGTCTATGGACTTTTTCTAGGCTCTATATGATTCTTTGTTTTAACGTTTATGTAATTGTTCTCTGCTTACATTAACACAATTTTCCCATTTATTGTTTAAACATTTTTACAAATTACTGAGTTTAAGAGAGACTCTAATCAGAGTCTGCAACACATCACACACAGACACACACAGCAGCAGCACACCTGAAGATGCACATTAGCACACACACCCATGGGTCTTGGGCAAGAGACAAAGGACAGGACGCTGTCTGTGGAGCCGGTCTGGTAAGACAAAAGGGAGTCGTTCCGAGAGAGGTGCGACCCGCAGGGACGTAGAGACGGTCAACAGTCCAGTGGGTGAATATATGTAAATAGTTAGCACAGAGGGAGACGTTTAAATGAGTGGGAAATAATGTGATTTGAGCCAAATCTGTAGACCTTGTTGTAAATAATTTGTTATTTTCTCTTAAACTTAGGCTGCAAGTTGTACAGCCTGGTACAGATGTACAGTGCACGGTACATCTCATACAGCATCTTAATGACGGAAGCAAATTTTTAGATCATAGGGCAGTACAGAATGGAAAACTTTGTTACAGACCATCATCCTGTAATGATTTTATCAACAAACCATACAAACATGTAACTACATATGATATATTGATATCATTTTCATTAGGAATAAATGAATGTTCCAGGTCACTAACAAACCATGAGTTGAGTTTTGAGTTCACAGGTAGAGAACGCAAGTAAGCTGCCCTGACGACTGAGAATGCAAATGCAAGTCCAATTGTGATGGAAAGTCACAAGGCAATGGTAAACTGCATCACACACGTCCTGGAGCCCAGACAGGCTGCAAGGACAAAAGGAAGGAGCAGCGAACGGCAGGGGTCAAAGGGTGCTGACAGCTGACCAACAGGAGGGACTTAGCAGGAAGAGCTCGCCAGCCAGCGTCGAACTTTGAGCCAATGCAAAGAAGTCTGAAGCTGACCTGATGCTGATTCTAACACATTTATTTTGAGACATGTGTTAAAATAACACATGCCTCAACAGGAGGGATGTAGATATAGAAATATTTTTCCAAATTGAACGATCGGAAAATTTAACAAAATAAATTACTACAAGAAAGATTTAGATACCGGAGGAAACGTATTGTGAACAGCTGACAACTGAGTTGAATCAACAAACGTCTCACATTTTGACTTCTATTTCTGGAATGAATTTGAAATATTGTTCTTCTCATTCAGTCAGCAGGACTGATAGTAAAGTAAATGGTACAAGACCATGAGGAACACCTGGGAAGAGCACCAAGACACACGCACACGCACACACACACACACACACACACACACACACACACACGTAGGCACCCCATTGTGCTTCTCTATTCAACAGCTGACCAGGGAATCCTGATCTTCCAACACCTCGGATCCCCCGATCGGTCTGGTCACAGGACCTGCGAGATTCTCAGGATCAAGAAGAGAGTGGATCTCAATCACACGTCAATGACGACCACTACGCGTCACCTGACCAAGCCTTTGATAACAAGAGGAAGTTTACACTTATGCATAATCCCACAAACACTTTAGTTTTTGTACAAGTTATTACCACACAACTTTCAGATTAAGAAAAGGGACAGAAATCCCTCATTTAAATCCAAGCTAAAATGATTGAGATATACAAGCAAATACACACGGTTGATATTATTGTGAGAACAAGAGATCAAGATTCTTGATTCATAATGTCCAAACATTTCCCTGATATAGAACTATACAGTAAATAGACATATTCACATTGAACATCTGGTCGGAGATTCACCTTTCCGTTGAGTTGTACTTACTAAGGTAACAGTATTGTCCCGATTAAACAAAACATAACTATAGACACAGTGAACAACAGACAGGAATGCATCACCAATAATTGATCAACTACATTAACCTAAAAGCCACATCAGTAGAATGGAAGCTATGGGAATACCTGGGGGTGTCTAATGAGTTTCAAGTCACACACAGGATCTAGAAGACGCACCTCTACCCCTGCTGGAGCAGAGAGGGATGACACAGAAGAGGAGAGACCACCTGTCAACAACCTGAGCGGCGCCAAAGGAACCGTGAGCAGTGACCAAACAACCGTCATCTCGCTGAGAGGAAGGACTTCCTCAGCCCAGAGTCTGCTTGACCACCGTGCAGGACCAGGAGGAAGCATCAGGACCGACCACAGCAGAACCAGCACCGCAGAGCCGGACCAGAAGCAAGACTAGGACCGATTCAGAAAGGGTCCAAGCAACCTTCCAGTCTCCCTTTTGAGGGACAGCACAGTTCCAAGACCACCTCACACTAATGGGGGACAACGACAGCCCAGCACAGACATAACCTCAGACCCACGGGTCACATCAGAGCCATCGATTTCCAGTACAGACACTCCCAAGTTCCCAAGCCCCTCTACAAATACTGCCCCATGGACAACAACAACCATTTAGCATGAGAGATCTTGAGAATGATCGAGAAAACACCCTCACACACAAATGGAGGTGAACCACTGCCGAAAGCTCTCACTAAAGAACCAGCAGAGAACAGTGACATGGACAACCGCTTCTCAGGTTTATTGGACTCATGATTTAGTAAATACAAACAATTGTTTATTTCTGTGATAACAGTCTCCATTATGGCCAGCATTTTATTCCTAGGTGGATGCTGTTGCATCCTCTACATTAGGACACTTATCATTAGAATCATCAGAGAAGACCAGCCCCATGATGCCATTAGGTTTATTAAATGAATGTGTCCTATGTCAATTTATACTGTACACATGACATCCGTGATGAAATGTTAAATCCTGGGAGAAGATCTTTTAATCTCTCCGACAGATTTCTTCCTCGTTTTATTCCCAAAAAAGGTTTTCGAGGGAGTTTTTGTTCTGTGCCAGGTACAAGTTAACAAGGTGTGTCCAGATGCACATTTTATGATTAGAATGTGTAGGATCAAGCGTATCATATTGGATCGAACGTTGTGCTAAACAAATAGAGACGACACATCTGACAAAACTGAGGAATTTGATGAACCGATCCCTCTGATTGGTTTTTACACCAAAATTGGTGTAAAGGGATGGATTGTAGGATATTAGAAACAAATTGACGATCCGGTTCATAAAATTAATAAAAATGCATATAGTGTACACCAGA